GGGAGAGATACAATCCCTTGAGAAAGCAAGTCCTAGTTTTTAACTTTTATTTGCAGTGTGCTAATTTTTTATTTGCAGTGTGCTAACTTTTTTCGTTAGCAGTGCAAAGAAAATTTTATTTGCAGCGTGCTGAAATAAAGTAAAGCGGACAATAAACGGTGTGAGCACCTTAGTGATGAATTTTGTGAGCAAAAATTCGTAGACTTCAAATAAATAAAACGAAATAGAACGAAAACCGGTATCAATCCAGGGTAGTGTGAACACAACACCAGAACGGAACAAATTTCTAACGGCTTGGTGTGAACAGTGCAAAACGGTATAGCACTATATAGAGTTTTGAAACGGCTTCTTGTGAACGATATCTAAGCGCATGCTTTCAGGTAGAAATTAGTAATTAAATGTTCCCTTATACCTCGAGTGATTTGGTAAAATGTCCCGTGTTATACAGTACATTTATCGATAGATTGAGATTTTTCGTATTTTTGTTCTTGATTACAAGTCTATGTAATTTAAGTAGTCGGCTTCCTTTGATCTTGTCGAATGAAAATAGAGCAAGTTCTATTTCCATCCGATTTTTTAAATTGATGGATCCGACTGTCGGAGGCTCACTTTATTTGTGTATATCACACGACCATTTTTTAAGATCCAAAAAATCGGATCTGACAAATTGGATTGTGTGAACGAGTCTTTAGCCGTTTACTTGTAGATAGATAGATAGATAGATATATAGATAGATAGATATATAGATAGATAGATAGATAGATAGATAGATAGATAGATAGATAGATAGAAGATAGTTTATTACTTAAAAAACTTGCAGCCTCGGTAGCATCACTTCGGCTGAAAAACGTATAAGTATTACAAATACTAAAAATTGTTGTTAGGAGTATTTACAATTAAAAAAAACTTACGTTATTTACGATTTGGTGAATCATATTGAATATAATTAATATAGTTATAAGTAATAAAATCGTCTTTAAATCTAATTTTTTTGAAATTTGGAGACTGGAATTTTCTTCTTTCTCTCATAAATTGCTAAGAGAAATATAATGGCGGTAATAACTGATACAACTTGTTATGCGGATCATTGACTATTTTCCGAAAAAACTTACTAGTCAAAGTTTGTCTACGTTCAAACAAGGATAATAGACCCAATTGATTAAGCGAGATACGACTGATCAGGGAGAATTATTTTGCAAGCTCTACGCTATAAACTTTCCAGTTCGTCTGAATGGTATTTCGTTAGAGATTCATGAAACATGCATATTCAGCGACCGGTCGTATGCAGGTGGTATGAAACAACAGAAGGTCCTTTGGAGGTAGTTTCGCACGTTTAAAACTGTCGGAGAAAGTATAAACGAGTTGAAATTTTCAAATTGCTTCAATGTGTTTATTCCATTTCAAATTGTCGGTGATGGTTAATCCGAGTAGCTTCGCAATCTGAACCGCCTCAATTTTTTGTTATTGATAATGATGGAATCAAATTATACTTTTTCATTTGAAAACCTAATACGAAGTTCTTTACATTTGGATTCCTTTAATTGCATACCATCATATTCAGATTTTGCGAAAAAATTCGTTTACGTAATTTTGCATTAAACTAGGTTGGCCTTCAGAGAACAACTTCAGACATAGTTGAGTCATCTGCGTATTTCCAAAGATTCTTGTTGTTCGTAACGTCGAGTTCATTTATCATTACTAAGAAAAGCCAAGGATCAAGCTCTGTTCCTTGAGGAACACCTGCAGGCACAGTTTTCAACAACCAGGTTATTGAATCTTCTCGGCAATCTTAGAATAAGTATTTTGATCCAAAACACCTCAAACGAGTCGTCATGTAGGTTTTCACTTATTTGAAAGCCAATTGTGTTTTCAATGTAAATACATATACTCCGTGTTGATCGTTACCTCTATCTCTGCGAATAAGGTTATACCCTTGGAGATCACCCACATCATCGTGTATATGGCTCTGCAACCAAGTCTCCACGATGCTAATACATTGGTAATTTTCACGTCGGATAACATCCTGTATTTTGTCGATTTTAGGGGCTAATGACATTACGTTAGACAAAAAGAAGGCAGGGACGTAATGAACGTTGTTTTGGCATATCGAATATAAGGGAGTTGTAAGCTTCACCAACATTATTCGTTGGTGTACAAGGAATTCTTATTAAACAAGGTTTTTTAATGTGATTCATAACTTCTACCACATTATACGATTGTCTGTACTTGCTATCATTACCTCGCTGTGTAATTCTTACTGGTATTTCATGTACTATTTTGAAGTATTTAGACTGACAAAGCGTAGGTGGTTTCTCCATTGTAAGTTCTGATCTTGGGGTGCATTAATACGTCTGAGCTTTTGGTCTTCCGGGGGAAGAGCAACTATACCTCCCCATAAGGGGTTTCATGAAAATTCCGATTGCAAAGAGAAGAAAAATCATTCTTTTGTTTATTTCGATAAGCGCTTAGTTGGTTTTGGAATGTTGGGGGATCTGTTGGAACATTTTTTCACTTTTTATTTACTTTTCTTGTAATTGATTTCACATGTCGAAAATTGGCTTTATTCTTTTGTTTCAAACAATTTTTCAGTTGGTTTTGGAAAGATCGAGACTCACCAGGATTGTGCACATGATTAATAACCCTAATTTCTTCTTATGTTAACTTTTTTTGAGGAGAATTATATGCTTATTTGGGTCAATAATATTGGAATTGCTGTTGTTGGAATTATTGGACTTAATTGCATTTTGATGGTCATTGTCAGATCTGTTCCTAAGGGACACTTTTCCTTCTAAATCGGTCATGCATGACTTTAACGTGTTATTTTCTTTAGTTAATTCGCATATATTTTGCTTGTTTTGGTGAATGATTTTGGTTTGTTCAGAAAGTTTTGTCATCAAAGTTTTAAATTTTGATTATATTATTTCATTTAGTGAGAAAAGAACGGTCTTCCACATTTTCTGCGTCTACTGAACTATCAGCAATTGGCGTAGAAGAACATTGACAACTGAAATAGGGAAATCATTAGCCTTGACTCTTTCAAATATATTTTGATGACATATCGATAAAATTTTTGAGTTCTTCAACAGTAGAAGAATCTCATTTTGTACCTGGCACATCATCTTTACGATTATCGCTTTTACTAGTGCCAGAAGTAATAGTAGCTTCAACTTCAACTTGGTTCACATTAGTGTTACTTGAAACAACAAACTCCATCCCACGACAAATTTAGCTACTCGAAATCGAAAAACCGTCATCTGATATTTTAAGTATTAAGTCCTTAAGGTTTATACCCTGAATGCCTTGAAATTAAGTCCATTTGCCACCATCACCGAACAAATCAGTCAACAAGAGTTTTAAAATCTTTAAGTCTCTTAACCATTTTATTTTCAAATTTGGTTGAACTTGGAAATGTTCCTTGTATTTTAATAATTTATTTATAATTCTCAGAGATTGAGACTCGTAATTGTAGTCCAAAGAGTTGAAGTTATCAGAGGAAGCCATCAGACAAACAGCATGACCTTCATCCATGAAATGATTATTAAAAGAAGTTAACCTGCCTGTATAATTAAAAATAAAAATCATCCTATTTCATAATCAACTTGAGCTTATAAGTTGAAATTATGTTATCAAAACTCTTTCTCAGAAAGACATTTTTACAAAGAAAAGTTTTTCATATTGGTCAACAATTTTTGAAATTAAAGCGTCAATAGAAGTAAAAATGTGAAGAGTTGAAGACACCTTTTGAATAAAGGCTGTCAAATAAAGAATGGCGATATTGTCACACACAATCTCCGAATAGGGGGTTGGGTTGGGTTGTGAGGTGGTAAGCACCTTAGCTAACGTAAGTTGCATCCATGCGGTTGCTGGCACGTTAATCCGAGGGTGAACATTCAAATATTAACTTTCATAAGTCGACTTACTCTCAAAAGAAATAAGTCAAACACAGCAGAATAAATGAATAGTCACCCCCTCGCCTCGCCTCGGATGAACGTTCAGGCGGTGGCCTTGGTTGTAACCTCTTTAGTGATAACATGAATTCGAACAAGAATGTTACAATAAATAAGCGAATCTCTGACGTTTGACAAAACTTTACCAAATCTCTTACTACAAAAATTTTTTTCACTATATCTTTTAAAATTGTTTAAAATTAAAAAAAAACACTGCTTTAAACCTTTGGCAATTGCCATCTTTGGTCAAATGTTCTCGGTCCATTTGCTACCAAAGCCATTATTTAGTTTACCTTAGTAAACTATATTGCCGAACCCTTTACTGCATGCTTTTGTCACAAGTCATAAATGTACATATCAATACATTGACAAATAAAATCAGTAAACATCAAGTTCTGTCAAGATGCCACATATAAAAAACATTTCTAGTGAAGAGTGCGATCCACCACAGATGTGGCTGGAAGCAAATATTATCATAATTATGCTGCACAGGCACAATCACGAAACACAATAACAAAATTGATAGGTAAAATTCATGCTGGAAAGACTTTATGTGCTACTTCGAAGTGAACTACAACTAAAACTTTAGTAAAAGGGCTTATTTTCCAGGATAATAGGGGTACTACTGAGTGAGGATCACATGGTTACTACTGAATAATTGTCCAATAGGTTGTCCAAAATCAATAATAAAGCCAGCCCCTTTTTCTCTTATAATGGAAATATTTTTGAGTTCAATCACTGGAAAAAGAATGAATTTAATTAATTTTCTAAAGAAATGAATAATAATTTCACGGAAAAATTTGCATTGTAGGAGTAAAGATTGGACTGACTTCCCAACTGTCCAGAAGTGAGGTATTCAGTCTCAGAGATGTGACAAAATATGCACAGAAGGGCTTTTGGTTTAAAGATTGTCACATCATAGTGTGCATGTGCAGAGGTAATTTGATGTGATTGCATTATGAATGATAAATAGAAACTGCAGTAAAAAAATTTTGAACATGCAGAGAGCTTTCATCACGCATTCCATAGAAGTTTCGTCAAATCAATTCTGCATTTAAGACTTTCATTTATATATTTGAAAATTGTTGACACCAGTCAACCCATAACATACATTTACAAAAGAATGACATTTACAAATGAACTTTATTATATAATTACTAAGTGTCCATATTTGCATCACTCACGATTCACTACTTTGCATGTTTGCTCATGACAACACCTCTCCTTTTGTTACCTAAGCAGGAAAAACCAGGAATAAATTTTTTAAAAACAAGACAACAAGCACTTCAAGTGCAAGCAAAGAATATTATTATCAATGTTAAAACCAGGTGTGATTTTTAATACACTGGCAAGAAAAATCTTTGATTTGGTCAACCTGTCTTTTCATTATGGTTGGTTTTAATATGGCTTTCAATGGACCAGGGCGAAAAATGAGAGTCTGAGTCTAGCTAAATTCTGACGTCATTTAAGGAAGCTGGTATATATATTTTGTAATGACAAGCCCTTGAATGACGTCACAAAATAAGACGTTCTAGGCAGACAAGATCCATTAAAAGACCTTTTTGCCAACTTTAAACCAGAATAAAAATGGACTGATTAGACCAAATCAAAAACCGTTTTTCACTGGTAAGGTAGAAATCATATCTAAAATTAATATCAGAAATAAAAATTTTGATTGGAAGGAAAAATTGACTATTTTCACATACTCTCGCTTCAATATACTCCACTCTCTGCTCCATTAACGTCAACTTTTCATCCAACTTTGCCAATTTACCACGACATGACATGTCTTATAAATTAAACGATTAAATATACCTTATATCACAAAATAAAAGCATCTTTTAGTACACATCACACGCCCAGTACATCTAGTACGAAACGATACGAATTTTTACACTTTATCAAATTGAAAGAGCAAGTTGAAGATAGAAGAGTACACTACTCACCAAAGTTGTTTAAAAACTTTGCAATGTTCTTTATGCTTTCGGACAAAATCTCGATAAATTCGCGATTTTCCCAATCTTGTTGAATCTGCTCACTTGTCAAATTCGCCATTTTGACATCATGTTTCCATTTCATGTTTACATAATTCAATCTCCTTTATCTTCATAATTGTCCACCGTAATTGATCCAATAAACGCCACATTAAGACCCTGTCCCACTGATCTCGAAATAAGACTGGAGTTTTTTTAAAAATCTTTCGATGTGTTGGGCCATTAGTAATGGCGGTGGTGGCTTCAAAATTTGTTTACTAACCAGATTTCATTGTTACTAAATAGAGTTCATTGTTACTAACAATATAAAGTTGCTTGATTCAGTCTTTTTCGAGATCAGTGGACAATACATTTTATAGATAAAAAATTGAAGCCTAAGTCATAGTCTCTTGCCCTGTTTGTACGTCAGTTCCAGTCTTTCAAAGCCGAATACCAGTGAACTCGACATTTGAATAACTGGAATGATAACCGAAGCCAAAAATTGAAGCCAAAAAAATATTTGTCGTCATCATTCGTCATCACACGTCAGGCTCTAGTCTCTCGGTTCATTTTTTTTTTAAATCATTTGTCCCTTGGTAATGGTAGAGTTCGGATCTTGATCAGAAGCGTAAAAATAACGAAATGTTTGTAATAAAAGGTTCACGGAAAGTGAATCAAAGTGATAAATCGAGAAGCAAGATGAGGTGAACTTAGTCGATCTGCTCTTACGCTGCGGTTTTCCTTTAAAATATCAAAGTCTTTAAGGATATTCAATTATTGATATCGAGATGACAACCATTTAGTATTTCAAGTTTCAAGCACTATCAAAATCGATGAAAATACAATCGCTCTGTAAAAGTAAAATGCAGTTATAGACTCGTATTTTTATGAAACTGATATTCAAGTTTCTTTTTTATTCGGAAAAACAGATCTTTAAATCCACTTAAATGACAAAAAACACAAACACTGTCTTTTTTGTTTTCCGTCTGAAAGTTTACCTTCCGACGAAAGAAAAATTTATGCTTGAATATTTTTTCGTCATATTTTCTATTGTATTGTCTTTTTAGCAAACAGTGTAATTTTCAGTTGGCTTTTCCTCGTTACAAGTTGTAAGTTAAAACGAACTCACTGTAGTAAAGTTTCCGCTGTAAAAAATAACCTTTTGCGAAGAGTTGGCCTCGTGTGTTGTTCGTCGTGATGTTGTTTATATGTTTATGCTTTTGCAATTTGTATTCAAATTTATATTGGCCGTGTATGTTTGGCACTCAGGGGAATGAAACTGACGTACAAACCGCGTGAATATTCGACTTTGAAGGACTGGAACTGACGTACAAACCGCGCAAGAGACTAGGACTTTGGCTTCAACTTTTTATGTATAAAATGTATTGTAGTTATCATTCCAGATATATATATATATGGAGTTCACTGCCGAATACTCACGCAGTTTGTACGTCAGTTTCATTCCCCTGAGTGCCAAACATACACGGCCAATATAAATTTGAATACAAATTGCAAAAGTATAAACATATAAACAACATCACGACAAACAACACACAAAAGCCAACTCTTCGCAAAAGGTTTTTTTTATAGCTAAAACTTTACTACATTGAGTTCGTTGTAACTTACAAGTTCTAACGAGGAACAGCCAACTGAAAATTACATTCTACGCTAAAAAGACACTACAATAAGAAAATATGACGAGGAAATATTCAAGCAAAATTTTTCTTTCATCGGAAGGTAAATTTCAAAACGGTGTCAGACAGTGTTTGTCTTTCTTTGTCATTTCAGTGGATTTAATAATCTGTTTTTCCGAAAAAAAAAGAAACTTGGATATCCGAGCCTATAACTCGCATTTTTACTATTCAGAGGGAAAATTTTTTGTCACTTTCATCGATTTGGATAGTGCTTGAAATACTAAATGGTTGTCCTCTCGGTATCAATAATTGAATATCCTGAAAGACTTAAATATGTTTTAAAGGAGAATCGCAGCTTAAAAGCAGATCGACAGTGTATGACAAAAGTATATAGCAGCTATAATGATCGTAATAAAGTAAATGGTTTGAACCCGGGAGCATCGTTACATGTTTGTAAATGTAGATCGTCCAGGTTGGTATAGTCCTGAGAAGGACTGTTTTTGTTGTTGTTGAATGACGTTTCGACAACCTTAGCAGTAGTCATCTTCAGAGTCAAATGAGGAGTAAACGTCAGGTTAGCCGTATTTGTTATCTGGTTCTTACGTCATCGTATTGTGTGTACAGGAAATGTGTATTGTCATTGTGAATTAGTGTGAAGTGAAATATTTTATTTTTAGTTGTGATGTGTGATTTAGGTGTGATTTAGTTGTGATGTTTTCAGTTGTAATGTGTGGGTGTCAATTGTGTATTGTCATTGTGAATCAGTGTGAAGTGTAATGTTTTTAGTTGATGGTTTGTTTGTATTGTGAATAAGTCGTTTGTAAGGTGCCGGTAATTGGTGTGATTTGCTCAGGGGGGTTTGTTCCAAGTTGGTATACCAACTTTCTAATGTAAGCCGTTGTCTATAGTCAGTACTGTAAGTAATGCATTTTGGCGAGTCCCAGTCATGTTGTGCTTTGTGATTTGGTGATGTTCGGCAAAGTGATTGGTTTTTTCTCTAGATTTGTTTTGTTTTGTCAATGTTTTCATTTTTATATGTAAATTTTGTCGAAAAAAAATCATACCGACAAATCCTTTTAGTTTATTTGAAAAACCTAATACTTTTGCTATGTGGGTAACGTAGAATTGAAATAAACATCGTTCAAAATATTTTCATGATGAAGATAAAACTGACTGGTAAAATGAAATCAAATGAGGTCAAATTAAAGATCTAAGATCCGAAAAAATAGAAATTATTTATTAACGTGCGAGAAAAACGAGTGATGACGATTGATGACGACGAATATTTTTTTGGCTTCAATTTTTGGCTTCAGATATCATTCCAGTTATTTTAATATTGATTTCAATGATTTCACTGCGCATGCTTATACATAAAACGCCCACGGTTGTTGTGACATCAAGTGACATTTTCCGCCATTTTAGGACGTCATTCACGGCATCGTTTTTAAAAGGCTCCGTTTTTGACCGTCCACACTAAAACAAAACGCATCCGTTTTCAAATCGCTCCCCTTTGGATAGCGTTTTCAAATCGATCCGTTTTCATTTGGCAGTGTATCCGTTTTTGAGAGTTTCAGTGTGGACGGAAGGCAAAAACGCATCAAAAAGTATCCGTTTTCAAACGAAAACGTATTAGTGTAGACGGGGTCTAAATTAACGCCTCTTATAAACACCCCTACCCACTCCTTGGGAACGTGAGTTTGCACCCCTTCCACATACAATTATGATATTGTCATTAATATGGTGGGTTGTCTTTTGGTTAGTGGTGTAGCCAGCCCCCAAGTTTTGGTGTTGCTATGTAAATTTTAGATCATTAACATCATTCATTTCTGTAGAAATCTGTTGTTTCTATAGTGAGTGAACACAGAAAAATTAACATAGCAGGACCAGTGGCGTGTCTAGAGGTCAGGCTGGTCGGGCTCAGCCCGAACAAAAATTTCCCCAAAAAGAAAGAATTTGTTCGATTAAAAATTCAAAATAAATGAGTTTGAATTTCAAAACAGTTTTAATCAATTTACTGCGGATGTTGAGAGGATAATCCAAATCTTTAAAGAGCGATTTTGGTCTAATTAAACTCAAAATTTGCATTTAGTGAGATGTTGCGTAGCAACAGTGTGCCGTTCCATGCTTTTCGCAGCTTAGTCGGGCTCTCAAAATTCAGCCCAACCATACAATATATTTTATAGAAAAAATATTCTAATCTAATTGGCTGATGACATCTGAGCATGCTCAAACTTACAGATTTGGAGAAACTAGTCACGCTCATTTTATAGAACCCGACTTGAGCCTTCAACACTAAAAATCGGCAAAACAACGTATACTTAATAGGTTTGTAACGGATTCACAGACTCACGCAAGTATTTTACTTAAGCTTTACTGAAGTTAAGGCGAAATTATACAGCTATAGCTTTATGAAAGACGATCTTTTCTCCATTCGGCAAGCTAACGAACAATGAATTATTTAAAGATTATTTATATAAAAAATTATCTAAAAATTATTTATATAAAAAATTTGTTCATTAAACTTTAAGTCTTATGTCTTATACTACGTATTAATGAAAATCACGACGTCATAAGGCGTGGCTCTGCATACAATAGCGTGACCAAATTTTTTTGCGAGATACGCCACTGAGCAGGAGCAAATTCCGTGCTGGCTACGCCACTGCTATTGGTCTCAGAAACATTTTTATGTTTTTATGCGTAATTAGGCAAAAATTCAGATTATTCATTGAATTGTTTTTTTGACAAGGACTTCTTTGTAGAAAAATAGTCATGCGTACGTAAATGTTTACATCTACCAGAATATTTTTTTCCAACATTTTGCACCAAATCAATATTTTACAATTTTCTTTAACAATCAAATTGGATATAAAGTCAATATCATTAGGAAACTAGTTGGTTCAACGTGTAATGGACTTATAAATGATTTCTTGCTGTAGGAAACACATCCTGCTTAGGATGGCACCTTGTAAATGCCAGTGGTTGCATTTTCATAGGATCTGATCAGCAAATTACTAAAAGTACAAAAACTATTTTACCACTTATCCCTATTTAATGGATGTGCTTGGCTGGATTAATGAAGAAATATATTGTACGTACACGAATAGTCTATTTTCAAGTAACTTCTGAGTGAGTTCTGATGCCATTTAAAATGTACGACAAAAATTTACCCGAAATCTATGACAAAGTATGTACAAACATATATTGCCATAAATCTATAATTTCAATGAATTGTCATGAAAAAACTTAATTGTCAGCCAAACTTAAAGTCGTGGAAAATTAAGCATTTGTTATAATCTTAAAATCCCCAATCTGCCTGTAAGATGTCATGAGTAAAATGTGTATCTACATATATATCAATTATAGAAAAAACTAACAAAAATCCTGAACTAATTACCAAGTATCTGATTCCAACACAATAACAGGTGATTCATCAATATCAGGATAGAGTTTCTCAGCTTCTTGAGCAATCCCCGATATTATACCAGCATGTACTTCTGATGCTGAACCTTCCACTAAAAATAAGAAAGTACTGAAATTATGTGCACAATGTATTCTTTTGAAAAACTGAAAAACCAAAGAAAAACACTACTTTGACTTTCTCCAACAAGTTTTTTGCTTAAGTTACCTGCAAGTGCAAGCCCTTCGTCATTCACACACAAGACTCCTATTACCCCTCTCACCCGTATCCTATAAAAAATGCCCATTTGTTGTTATTGATGAAAACAATAAGATCTACTGGTATATTTATGTTGTCTTGACAACAAATGATGGAGCATTTTGTCAAAGTTAAAATGCCAAGCACATTTTATATGATAAAATAAGAGTTTGAATTGAAGTGTGCTACTTGCAATTGTGACGATATTATTCTTGTTTAACTTCGTCCATGTACACAGTGCAAGTTAGGAATAAACATCATATAAAGCATACATGTGCTAAATCATATTTTAAACCATGGCATGTGAGCTATTTTTTTGATTTCATTGTGTAAAATTCTTTTAAAGTATTGACGAGCTTTTGAAATACACACAAAGACTCACTGAATATGAAAATTGAGTGCTCAACATCTACATATGACAGAACTGTCAACTCTCATGATTTGATGATGAGACTCACAAGTTTTCTTACTTGCTCACTTTCCTGCTATTATACATAATCTCACATTATTTGCCATAATGTGAAATATTGGGTGCATATGACTGTCTTGAAAAAAGAAAATTATGGTATTTTGGGTCATTATTATTACAATGTTTATATTCGGATTCTTCTCACATAAAGAGGTGAATGGTAAAACTTATAGAAAACTTAAACCCAAATGATGGAACTCAAAGAAAAACATATTTAACCCACATTATATATAAAGGTAAACAAACTATTTTTGAATTGAACATTAAATTTGCTGTTCGACAGGCTTATCTGCTTATTGGCTTTGCAGGACCAGCTGGATACAAACAACCAGTGTGCGGATTAGTTCAGAAAAAATGATTTGTAATTTTTTTGACAAAAGTGTTTCTTAAGAGCATTATCAAATTGATAATACCTTAATTATCATATAGCGCTAATTGCAAATATAATATTTTTAAGTGAGAACAAATTCATATGATTTACGACAGTGTTTTTCGTTAAAACTGCTGATTTTGCACATCGTTTGAAAAAGTGTGCAATTTTTCATTTTAGCTAAAACGATGTGCAAATTGCACATTGCACACTGTTTATTCGCACACTGCAAACAACGAAAAGATTCCAATAAGTTTTTCAAATTTTAGTTTTGCATTGTTTATACAGTTCAGCCTATATTAAGAGACTCTGTGTGAAATGGTGACCTACGTAAAGCGGTCATGTCTCAAAGTCCCAAAAATTTCATAATATAAATACTATTAAAGTGACCTTTATTAAAAAGTGACCTCTATTATACATATGCAGTCACCTTTTCCGATGTCCCAAAGTTTATTTTTCAATGTTTTGAAACTGCAATTAAATGGTCTGGAAAAAATATATACTTTATATAATAAACTATATAGTTAAGTATTTATTCTGGAGCATGCCAAAGCTTTATATTGTAATGTATTTAACCTTGAAACTAAAGTGTCAGCAGTGTTTTTGCATACATATTTCTACAGCAATTTGAATTTTTCTCGTTTAAATTTCCCTTCAGCCAATGAAACAAAAACATACCTTAGAGAATGGGATGTTGAGGAACAATGCTTGATTCAATTTTAGTTATATTGTATTACATTTAGGCTGTCTTGTGATTTTCTTAAAAACGTGTATTAAATGGTCAACTGGTATTAAGTGGTCACACGAGAAATCCCAAAAGGTAACCTCTTAGTAAAGGTTCTACTGTAGTTATAAATATATAATTACGCACTGTTGCAAGATTAAATACCAAATGATTATTTTTCGATTGAAAATAAACACAGGCAATATTATATTATTGTGAGCACATTAAAGTCTCACGTTTTTCAAGACAATCTCACTTTTAAATAAAAAGTCCCCATTTGATTCAGCAAGTATTGGCAAGTTTGTTTTCAGCAATGTATGTTGAAATTTACAATTGAATTGAATAAAGGTAAGAAGTTTAATATGTAGGTAACAAAAATATTAAAGGACAAAACGCAAAAATGAGGAATTCCTGAATTTAAATTTTCAATGCAGATAATCAAAAAATTGTCAGGTTTGGTGAATGGTGACTTCTGCAAATTCCTCTTGAAAGTTGACAATGACGGACAGAATGTTCACAGTGCTTGCAATCGATTTCGTATAGTTTGAGTTGAATTTGTAAATATATAATACAAAGGCAATGAGGTCATACTTACAGGCTGTCCACAGAATTTTCAAGTTCAGATTCCATCTTGATCAAAAATATATTGTAAATAAGGCAACTTATTTGATGCACTGTTGATGTGAAAATTGAAAATTAAGCCCGCCGATATCGAGGAGCACGTCACGTGCGTTAGCCAAACTTTCAGGCATACGTAATGTGGAATGTGTAAAACTTTTTAAGTAAAATTTAACTTTTACCTAACTCAAACTCTATTTTGTGTTGATGCTCTACTTTTTATAACTACTATTCATTATTCATCTTCATCCCGATGAACAATACTCACTTGTTTACTGAGGCTCCCATCTTTTACTTTAGGTGTTTGTTCGGGAAATAAGCGGAGTAAGCCGACGGGACGCCGAGAATATTCAGTCGCGCGAAATGACGTCATGTTAGTTTAGAAGTTGTAAAACTGTAGTTGAATATATCTGAGAGAAAGGTATGTGTTAGTGTTATTTTCTAAAAAGGTGGTAAAGGTTGGCAAAGAGGGCATTTAAAGTTTCCATAAAATGGGAAAAGAAAAAGCTGGTCCATTGACGCCGAAAGCAATTAGCAACAGAATAAAAGCCAAGGGTTTGCAAAAATTGAGATGGTATTGTCAAATGTGTCAAAAACAATGTAGAGATGAGGTACATGATTACGTCAAGACTTGTACACTCTTCTTTGATTACTTTTGAAAAAAGCACCAGTGAACATGGTTGATGCTAGGGTGTCAATTGGGCCTGGATTAGTCATAAACTTTATCTTTAATTCGAATTCAATGACTGTTCAAACTTCCTATGTCTCGTGTAAAATGCTCGAGCCACACCGAGTTGAATTGATTGAATTTGTATCTGTCAGATGGTAGAATGCTACCATTCTATTCAAAATGAATTTATTTGCACATTGATGCGTTACACTTGCGAGCAATGATTAAATGTTTCATAAATATACAAAATTTCTTAAATATTACAGATGAAATAAATTGTTTGCATTTTGCTGGCAGGCAGATTTATGCCAAGGGAGGTTTATCATTGTTGCTAGTGTTGTCCAAAAGAACTTGACCAAAGCTGCCTGCCAGCAAACATAAACAGTCCAATTCATGTATTACCTGGTGTTGTAGAATGGTTTCAAATGCCACTGCATGTCAGAATCACATCAACGACAGTTGCTGATATTTGCTGATAATCCAAATAGATTCATTGATTCATTCTCAAAGTAAGGAGAAAAGGACATTTTTGTTTTTGGCCCTTTCATTAGCATAGCTCACACAGGACTAATGACAATCTTAATTTCATCATAGGGAATTTGAAGATGATTTTATGTTGCTACTGAGAAGAAGGTTTGGTAAGATGCAAATAATTAGCAATTTTGGGATTCTGATAAACAACACTAGCAATTTTTCTAGACCTGCAAGAATAAACTTAGCTTAAAATTAATGTGTGATTTTTTAATGACTAAGAATAACTTAGCTTAAATATACAACAGTAATTTTTTAATCTCTAAGATTAAACTTTAAAGCCTAATGTTGTTATACGTACGACATTGACTTTTTCAATCATTCAGATTGAACTTACCTTAACATTATTACCATTAATATACTTCAGTGATTTTCTCAGTCAAAAGTTCTAATAATGTACCTATGACAGAGATGATTTTAATCTGCAATTAGTTAGCAGGTTTCTGTTTACATGAACTAATAAACTTTATTCTGTACAGTGGCGTAGCCAGGATTTTGTGTCAAGGGGGGAGGGTGGCATTTGAAAGGGAGATGGGGCCATAACTGAAGATTGTTTAAACAGTATGATGTAAGTAAAACGTATTATTTTATGTTGGCAATAATTTTGCCTGGGGGGTAAATACAGTACAGCATTTTGTTTTAGTTAAGTTAGTTTCTACTTTCAGTTGCGATCATGCAGCCATCATATTTCTTTGATTACTGCCTATTTATTTTACAACTAGAGAATATATTTTAAATGTACAAGATTAGGTCAATTACAATGTATGGAAGTGGCTGAAAACTTTTTTTTAAAGGTACGCGACGAGTCCATGCCAATGTTGTATATCAGGAATATATTAGTGACAGAAATCATCTTCATATGAATTCCACACAGGTCAGTGAGAGAAATTTTTGTTGAGCTGTTTAGAGTTCCAGAATGTAAATATAAACCAATGCAAAATGCCAGCCAAAATCACGGGAATGCTACGTTTTACATTAAATAACAATATAATAAGTAATATAAAATATATAACATACTATGCAATATAATATACGTACATACATGTGATGTAATATTTGCTTAACTTTCCGCGAAGAGCCTTTTCAGACCCAATGTACAAATATAACAAGACTAAGATTGCTTTGATAAAATATTAGTTTTTTTTCACATTTCTTATGTTAGAAAGATACATGAATACATAAATCCCCTCCTAAAAAAATTAAGATGATCTGCTGTCTCCAAAAATATCAAAAAGAAGGTCAACTTCGATAATTTTTCGTAAGCGCTATACGGCAATGATTTGCCTTCAGCCAGTGCTGGAAACTGAAGTAATTACTCCCCCATCTCCGAAGAAAGCTTTCGAGTTGTAATTTTTGTTTTATCTAGTGGGTAACATTGACAGAGTTTGTGAAATGGTTGGGTCGTGAAGGTAAAGTGCGTTTTAAACTCGAATATACTTGTGACTAGTCTCAATATTGCCTTGAAAAGCGCATTTGCTATGGTGAAAATAGCATTCAAAACAGTTTAATAAACTTGACAGTTCTGCGCCTCCAGGATTTCATAAGGTTTTAAAGTCTTTAATGCAAAACAAACTGAAACTACTGTATACACTGATTTTCATCGTAAATTTATGAAGCAAAAGCTTTGTAACATCAAAGCAACATTAACTGATTTATACCATCCACAAAAACGCAATCATATTTTCTCAACCTTCCTCGGCTTTTGAGTACATTTAGCTAATCAATAAGTAACCTCACTATGCATACTTAAGCATATTTTTCTACGCGAGCGACCATTTACTTGTATGTATCTCTCACTGATTAGGTAAATGTAAAGTGGACAACACTGAGAAAGGATGGTTTATTACGTATATTGATAGAGATCCTGAGACGCTCGCGAGGCAAAAGGTAAGTCGCCCAAGACTTACAAGTAAGTGTTACTTGTAAGTAAGACACACCAAGTAAGCCTAGTTTTCACTACTGACATACGTAAGAACGAGAAAGAAATCAAAGCAAAGCATATTTTCTTAAAGTTGGAGGAAACAAAACAAAAGAAATTTTCTTTTCAATTCTCTTGTTCTCTGATTCTCGAATTTGAATCTTGAGATCGATGTCAAAGGCGGAAATTTTTTACATAGTTCATGAAGATTTTTGTCCGACTAATTTGTTTAATTTTTCTGTTTCAATCACCAGGCATCAGAAAGTAAGGAAAAGATGGAGATGGATGATGATGAGAAAACAGGTACTTCACACGTGGGAGAGTTTTTTTGGTTTTCATTGGTCGTTCAATATTTTTTATTAGTGATTCAACAGTTTTAATTTGTAGCCAAGTTCATTGAAAAACAAATTGAAAGAGAATTAGCAAGGAAACTTGATCAGGTAGTACTATGGGGATTTTTTTTTCATTTGAATGAGAAAATAAAGAATAAATGTAGATTTTGCAGCGCATAGCATAGCGTCTGAGTTCATTTAATAACCTAATAACCTTACACTGTGCATTTTATTTTGTCTGTGTTTCCAACTCAGTTGAAAGTTCTCCTGACAAAGTCGAATCTTAATTCACAATTTCTAAATGCGTTTTTTTCTTTCGAAGATCTCTACCACGTAAATTTTGTCTAAACGAGATTTTGCTTCTGTTTTAGCCTCAATCTTGTCCCACAGAACTGGAAAGAAATGACGAAGACGAGAAAGGTATTGTTTTGTTTGCTCTCTGTGTCGCACCACCAAGAGCACAAGTTGATTTGGTTTTCCGGGATTCAACTTTTGTTTTACTCGAAATAATATATACAGTTGAATCTCTACTTACGGACGCCTCTCAGAAACAGATGCGGCTTTAGTACTCTGTAAAACCTGTGGGCTCTTTTCAAACCTGTGATGCCTTTGTTGAAACTGCGAGTATTGTGGCAAACTTGCGAATCTAGGTCCCACATTAAACCTCGAAGTAAACAAATGATGTTTTGCCGTCTGCTTCAATTCTTTTTAGCATACTTTACGTTTTTGTACGAGCATCAAGAAAATTTGTCATTTTAAAACGTTAGTAATTGTTTTAGCGAGTTGTTATTATGATTGTATGTTGTTTATAATCTCCGTATACTTTGTATGTTTTAGTTAAACTGTACGCAATGAGAACTTATGATGTTTTTGTTGTTTCTCTATTTTACAACCCATATTCACATAGTTTAACAATTTTAAACATTTTCCGTTATGGATGACACATATGTTTTTGAAGTCTGTTGGTGGATGAATTAAACACGAAAAGGACTTCTTATCAAGCAATGATTCATAGACTTATATAATTTACGGAATAAGTATAAAAGCAACACAACAAGTTTTGCCAAATACGAGTGGCTTAAGCCATCTAAAATTACGATAAAAAGGAAAGCATTGTTCAACAATTAGATTGTAAAAATATTTACTGCAGTATTTACGCATAATATGTACAAAAAAGTGAAAAAATCACAGTTTTCCACTGTAGCTTAACATCCGGGAATCGATTTTGCTCCACAAAAAAACGCATACTATATTTTGAACTATAGATTATAATACGATGCCACCTCTAGTCTTATTTATAATCTCTATAACCTGGAAAAATTTAGAAAAAACCTGCAAGTACTTTGTTAGACCTGCAAGTACTTAGTTAAATCTTTAAGTACTTAGTTAAACCTGCTAGTATATTGTTATATTAGAAAATTATGGGTGTCAATAGCTTCTGCCATTCAGTTTTTAGATTCAATAGCTTCTGCCATTCAGTTTTTGTATCTTCGTTATAATAAAGTGTTGATATTTTGTGTTTCAGTTACTCTTAATCTGAACTTGAAATCTGACAAAGAGAAAGAAATGCCGAAACCGTTGAGGTTGAATTTCCATATTACAGAGTGAATAATTTAAACTAACCCCACACCCCTCCCAGTCAATCGTGTCTTCATCAGGAGTGGTCTGATGTTAAAAATAGAGTCCTTACATACTACAGTGTACGTAGGGTATTCGTCAAGACTGATCTGTTGTTAAATGTTTATATCAGGAGTGATCTGATGTTGAAACTTGAATTCTTATACCCTCCAGTCAAATGTCTTCTAAAGAGTGATCTGATGTTGAAACTTGAGTTCTTATATATACTCCTTTTTGCGGCTGACAAAGAATCACTGTTATTTACTTTTATTTTAGCAAAGCTGGCAATTCAAATCCATTTGTAAAACTCGATAAGACCAAGGAGAAAGACAGCAAAAAGAAGGAAAAAGAATCGTGAGTTAAAGTTCAGTCTTATTAGGTTGAGTGCAGCTTAGGACATTCATGATAAACATGCTTATTTTCTGTTCTTGTTTATGTTTCTGATATATTTTATAACAGACAGAAACGTAAATCGGCTCTTGATGAAATCATGCAGGTATTATGCTTTCTATTTTCTTCACATCAATCATTTTCCTTCATTTGCTTGAGCTCCTGCGATAAACAACAGCATCGTCAATGTATTGCCCATTTGCAAAGTTTTGCAATCATAACCAAACTACAGTCGAACCTGTCGTCAGGGCGAAACTAGAACTTTAAGTGTGTGTGTTTGTGTATGTGGGGAGGGAAGAATGCTCATATATTCAGCTCAGCTTGACTGATTTGCATTGTTAGCGATTATAGTTTCAAAAGAAATTAGCAAGGGGAGCTGAATATATGAATAATCACCCCCACCAAACGTTCAAGTTTCGCCATTGCAGGTAAGCGGTCATGTGACAATGCTCCAAACTCAATTTTCCAAGCTCCCAAACTTAATTATTAAACAGTATTTAACAGTCGAGTGACATTATATATAGTCTCTAATTTCTAGATTAAACTTATAAACAATTAATAGTTTACATATAGCTTTAGTTTAATTATTCGTTTTGTGTATATGGAAGTATGTTGCTGTTTATTTCAAATTTTATTTGCATTAGATCTTCAATGCTGTATTATTGTTGTGACATTGGTACGATAGATTATGTTGTCTGTTTTAAGGAAGAGGAGGCAAAGAAAGCAAAAAGGAAATTTGAGGAAGGACAATTGGTTAATGAAGGTACTCAAACAATTACAGAATCATACATCGAGCCGCTATCGCGTGCGCCAGCGGTTTGCGCTAGAATAAATTAAACTCATTGAAGTGAATATAACTGGAATGAAACCTTTTCCTATAATTTTGAAGCCGCTTTCTCCCCAGTCTTCAAAACGCACACGTTCGAACAATTTCTTTTTAAAACGCATCGCTGAGACTTCATTTCAGTGAAATAAATCATTTTTATATTATTAACCCACGCGAAGGGTTAAAGGCAAAAGCAAAGGAGCATGAGAAATGCAAATGTCCACAGGACACTGAACTCATTTGAAGGAATAAATATTACTTAAAGCCCAACGACTTTGTCTTAGCCTACAGGCCTCGTAATTAGTATTTCGCCTCTCGTCTCGACATGAAATGATAACAATGATTGACAAATAGAATCTTCGCGCGTGCAGAGCACGTGGTTTGCTGATTTATCCAATTTTATTAATGTTTAGCTACTGGCCTTGTACGTTTTTCTTTTCAAGTCGATGTTTCTTTGGTAGGGAATCGTGGTGAAAGTTATGCATAAAAACTAGGAGAGAAATATTACAAAAAGAAAGCGGTTGTTACGGTATGATTATGCTTGCCGTTAAAGTTTATGTGTCATGATGTCGCGTTTTGGCTGTCCATTTTCCATACTCGCGGACGTTTTGAAAAGTTTTGTCTAATTTACAGGAAGTAAAAGATGTTTTTACCGGTATTGTGAAAATGCTGGACAGTGGAGATGTTTTGAAAATTGATCAAACGTATTTGGAAACGGTCATTCCCGCATTAGGTAAGCACTATGTCCAATTTGATGTGGAATAAGCACTCCATTTTTATACGATATATGTCCGTTATCCGTATAGGTCATAGTATAGTTTTGAGTGCAATTACAGCTGAACATGCATGAGTGAGTTTTCAAAGACCGCAGCAAAATAGCACTGAAGAACGAGGACTATTTGCAGTCTTTAAAACCCACCAGTTTAAAACATTCACTCAAAACAGTACTTGCTGTTTTGTTTCTATTCTTTGCATTCTTATGTAATACTTGAATTTCAAACGATTGCAATCGTTGAAATCTGTGAAAATCTTAGTAAAAGATCGGGCTGACTTCACCATTGAAAATATATTTAATATACAGCTAAACATTTTCACCCTTATTTATTTCCTATTGGCTCTTCTTATTTATCTCCCTGTTTTCTCCCCTTATTTATTTCCTTCCTATCCTTATTTATCTACAATTTTATCCTTATCTATCAACATCTCTTATCCTTATTTATCTACCTGTCTTGTCCTTATTTATTTCCTTCTTATCTTTATTTAACTTCCTCTGTTATCGTTATTTATCTATTTACTTAAGTCATCATATACTTTATGGGTCAAACAAGAATTCTGACACATGGCAAGGCGTGACTAATTTTACTGGGATTTTACTCCTCCCCAACCACTTAGCTACGTCAGGTGCTTAATTTAGCATGAACAGTGATTTGTAATAAGTTGCTGTTTAAGTTCTCAGTTGAAGCAATTAACATTTTTGTGCAGTGTTTATACTTTACGAAACGAGCGTTTTCTATTTTTTGCGTCACTTCCTGTGCAGAGTCACCTACTTTTAGGCCCGAAAAACCCAATAAGATGAAATTTTCGACCTATCTAATATATTACAAAAGTTCGTAAAATGGATTTAACTATCTAAAGAGGTTATTTCCCTGACCCTGATATATGGGCACTTTAAATTATTGCAGTATTGAAGAAAGTGGACGTTTCATGCATTTTCATCTGCAGTAAGCACCAGTTTTGTATACATGCATATGTGTTTATCAAAGTAAATGTTTGGTTAACTGAAGATATATTTCTTACCGAGTGAGGCTCAACAATATTTTTTGTAAGAACATGGATGTGATGTTTCATTTTTCAGGTAGATCAGTGTTGATATTAAATGGTCGTTATAGAGAATGAAGGGACATTACGTGATTTGGACGAGAAATCCTTCAGTGTCTCGGTCGAGTTGACGGAGGTAGTTCAATATTGTTTCAAGTTACTGTCGTTTCAGTGGTGAAACTGGAATGCTAATCGCGGGGAGAGGTGAATATTTCTACATTTAGTTCAGCCCTATTGATTTCTTTTCCAATTAAAATTGTTTTCAAAAAAAACAGTCGGGCAGAGAGAGCTGAATAAACGAATATTCTCCCCCCCTCCCCAATTAACGGTTTAGTTTCACCCCTTGTCGTTTTAGAACATATTTTTTTCCCCGTTGACCAAGTAATTCTGTTATGAAGGTGTTTATTGTGTTTGCACTGGTTAATGTAAACTCAGCTATAGACCAATCAGTGCAAGCGTTATGTTAAAGCTCAGTGCAAGCGTTATGTTAAAGCTCACCAAATGTTTGATTTAAATAAAGTTAGGTTTTCCGCGAAATCTAGGCTACTGTAGTCGTTCCGTTCGAATCGCACCTCCTAGTCATATGTTTTGAGGATGTGTATTATTTAAGAAATAAAAACGTTTACTGTCTTTGCACAGGCTTATATGCCAACCGAGGAGACCTTTGGGAGAATTTGAGAGCAGATCAGCAAGCGCAAGACCGAAGGTCGAGGGTCGCACCTGCTCCTGCACGAAAACATCTTTTATTTCTTTTATAATAACAAAATGTGAAAAAAGACAGACAAACGTTTCAATTTTTCCCCTTAAATGTATTCCTGATTGATTTGCAAATTCTGTTTGTTTCATTGTTTTGATTGGTTGAGGTCAGATCGGTTTTAACAGGATCGTTCAAACACACCTATAGACCAATCAGCGCACGCGTTTTATTGTGTTTATTTTTTGATACATATTAGGGTGAACATCGGGGACGAATCGTCAACAAACTCCCTTATGAAGACATCTCCAAGTTGGAATTGTAACGACTCTCAATTACTCTCAATCACGTATGTACAGTTTATGTATTTATAGTTCCGACCGGGTGAATGGCAAAAGGCTATTTGAACTGGAAAAGATTGTTTTTTGAAAAAAAGGCTACTTAAAAATGACAGTTTTTGACTGATACTCTCAAATTCTTCTACAAGTGTCGTTTCATGAAAGAAAATAGCGACAAACTTGGCAAAAACCGATCGCCATTTGCCGATGGAAGGTGAAAGCAGTTGGAAGTTAAAAATAATTGTAACGTAATTTGATCTCCATATAAAGTATTTGAAAAATAGTTTATCTCGCGTTTCGAAGCTGTCGAACAAGACTGCGAACCACGAACAAATTCACTTCGGAGTTTATAGTTGTCAAAAAATGAAAAAAGTTGGTTTGGCATTGCAAGCGCTTTCTGGATTTCAATGCGAAGGTCAAGCTCGTATCTGTCAGAGAAATGTGACAAACTACAAATGGTTGCTCGGCAAGTGTCGTTTGTTGAGAGAATGGTCGAAATATCCTTGTATTATTTTGAAATATCGATAAGACGATGCATTCATGCGGCTGAAAACATATAGCTTTATTCAGATTTACCGTCATTTCTACTAGATGTATTGAAAAGAAAAGATTTTGAAACTTGCAAAGACACATTTGACTGAACACCTCATGAAAAGTAAATTTACCCCTTAGATATATTGTTATGAATTCTACATGAATGAAACCCGGAAAACTCACGTTATTTATTGTCATTCTTTTGTCCTTTTTAATTAAATACAACGATGTGCACACCAATCTGCATTGACTATATTCTCTCTTCCTTTGATTTATCATTGACGTAATCCATATTTGTTGTTACTGCCCTTCAAATTGTTGTCAAAATACAGGAAGAAAGAACAGGCACAATATTTTGGATGAGAACTAGCGATGATTATAGATAAAAATTAATACCGCGTTTGTGTTGGTGGGAGTGGTGGATGGTGGGGGGAAGAGGAGCGTAAATTTTATCATCCGCCCAATTGCTGCTCTATATTTGCCCCTGGGGATAAGGCCATGGGCGAAAGCAGAAGGCTATTTTGTGGGGGAAGGAAGTTTATATTCATGTATTCAGTCTGCTCTAAGGCGAGTGGGAAGGCAGGATCAAATTCTTGAAACGAATACACTCAAAGAGATAACGTCAGTGCTATCGTCCGGGGACTGAATGTGTGGGCAACTCGTAGTTAGTAATGAAAATGTTTGTCCTTCATGTGATCTTTCAATGTGGAATGATCATCAAATATCTTTTGCACCGTGCAAGAAAATTTACCGTTTTTTTCGTGAATCTTCACGTGCTGTTTGAGATTCGACTTCTTGTTAAAATGACGACCGCACGTCTCGCAGCAAAATGGTCGCTCGCCCGAATGGACGAACATGTGATTGCGCAAATTTCCCCTCTGGTGAAAACCTTTGCCGCACGTGTGGCATACGTGCTGCTTGCATGCGCTGTGCGTGCGCATGCATCTTTAACGTGGAAGAGCGATTAAAGTTTTCTGGCATTTGTGTGGTTTTTCGTTTGTATGAATTATCTTATGTCGACACAACGTGCTCGACAGACGAAAGCCTTTCCCACAAATGTTGCAAACAAACGGATATTCCTTTGTGTGAACTGGCATTTTCACGTGAATGCTGAATGTATAGTAAGTTTTGAAGTGTTTCCCACACTGCTTACACTGGTAGTTAAACTTTTCCCTACATTTTACAGCTTCCTCTGGGCTGTTCTTGCCCCAGTCCTCTTTATGAGTATTTTTGAGTATCTGTAATTTTTCCACTTCGATTTTCGCGTTTTCCATATTTTGCATCATATTACCTGCTAAAGTTTGCATTTCTTTGCCTGTCTCGTTCACTTTGTCTGTAAAATTTTCATCGAATTCCTTATGATAACTTGGTTTTTCTCTTCCATCTACCGCGAGTTTAGAGGTTGGAAAAGCTTTTCGTGGTGGGACCTTTGTGTGACTTTGTGCATTGTTTCGCACGTTAATGATTTGATAACAACTTTTTGCTGAGCTCTTGTTTCTTGTTTTGGTGTTTGTCGTGTTTCCGTCCCTGTTTGCATATGAAACATCCCGCTTGATGAGATCGATATGAAAACCTTTTACATCATCGACTTCTAGGAAATCGCGAATTTTTCTACTGGGCGTGATACGCCGCTTTTTTCGTTGCAAAAACTTTTTTCTTTGTTCTGTTTCGTTTTCTTTCCGCGTTTGATTAAAACAAACGGTGTCTTTAGATTCCTCATGGAAGGCTCTTCTGACACATTGTTTTGTTATTTTTACCAGTACAGTTGTGTCGTTTTGAATGGATTCATTAGCAAGGGATGTTAAGATATGAGCATAGTTCAGTTGCTCCATTCGTTTGCGATGCGTTTCGCAAAATTTTCATCTTGCAAGAAAGCGCAGAGTTTGACTTGGGAGAATTTTGAAGAGCGTTCCGACTGCCATTTTGGACGTCTTTATTTGACTTCATATTCTATAGTAAAGAGGAAAAATCTATCGGTGAAAAAGTTGGATGCTGCATCGCGAGTTACATAAATTTTCACCATTAATTTTATTTCGGCTTACAATTTTTTTCTCCGTGTTCTGTAACCAAAAACTATAGAATTTCTTGTTGGCCTATCACTGCAGTTTTCTTTCCATTTAGAAACTTTTGTGGTAAGATTCCAATGACAGAACGAAAGAATTTTTTCGAGAGCGAGTTTCACTGAAAGTAGAGCTCTTTGCGCATGCTCTATGCATGCACCTACTTCATAATTGATGAACTCATTTTGTTGCTATTTAAATAGTATTATGTCTTACTTCATATTCACTTTGATACTCTGGCTGAAATGTAATAGATGAACTTGCCTTTTTTTACACACGGTGACCAGACTTAGCTCCTGCATGCAGTATCGCTTGGCTTTGTTTTTGTTTCCAAGGATATATAGTTGTCAAGTGGTGTACTCTAACGTTGCAAAACATCGTAAAGGCTGTTGCTTGTTGGCATCTTCAAACTTACCTCTTCGATAATAAAATTTTAATTACGATAATTTTATAAATCTTGCTTTTCCTTCTTCCACGTATCGTTGGGGCAGTTGTATTCGGATGTCATAAACGTCGACTGTTCTTTGTCCACTCCGCTGCGCTTTGCTTGAACTCTAATGTATTATCATCTGTCGAGAGCTCGTGCTGTAATCCTAAATTAACTTTTTAAACATTTATAGAATTGCGCTTTGAATTGCAAACGAGGACGCGGGCCCAATGATATTGCTGCGTTTTGCTTTGAGTATGAAATTGTCAGATGTTAATTTATTTTGTCACCTGCCACTCAATTTATGCACTCGTACAAACTGCTTTAGTTTGCTTGACAGATGGTCCACTCTTGGCGTGGTTTGTCCCATTTACTTTACATTAAGTGTCATTTTCAAAATAAATCATGCTTCTTTCTGGAAAAGGAATACTTGATGCCAGTCACCAATTACAACGTCTACATAAAGATAACCTCACGCTTTTGTCATCTTTTTATGTTTTTCGACGCTGTCTGTTCGCCGACTCACTGTTAAGCGCAGCTTTTGTTGTAATAAATTACCGGTTGTTTTTTCACATTGTTTAAAAATTGGTTCATAAATCATAATATGAATTTCCCGCGTTAACCATTTACGAAATTCATTGCTAACAATAGTTCGTTTCTTGTTCGGCAGCTCGGCTGTCATTCGGCGTCATTACATCGACTGCATGCAATGTTGACAATGTGATAGAAAACCATATGTATAGGCGAAACATCGATGACTTCAATCTTAGCGGTAGTCATCTTCAGAGTCAAAAGAGTCATTTTGACTCTTCAGAGTCATTTTGAATCTGAAGATGACTACCGCTAAGGTTGTCGAAACGTCAGTCAACAACAACGAAAACAGTCCTTCTCAGGACTATAGCAACCTGGACGATCGACATTTACAAACATGTAGCGATACTCCGGGGTTCAAACCATTTACTTTATTACGAAGTAAAATATTCTCGAATGATTTTAGAATGACTAACGAGCTAACGAGCTTGCAGGGCCGTTCGTTGGGGTTGTCTGGGAGCAAACGCCCAAAAATTGATTGTGTCCATAGCATCTCAATTTCTTTGAACGGCCTTGCGAGCTTGAATTTACTAATGCAAGATGAAATCTTTAACACTACATATAATTAAAAATTGCCGTATTACAGTCATCCTTTGCAGACCTCGTGGCTAAATGCTATGGTAACTAAATCTAAGACCGTTGACATTTCCGCTTCGCAAAAAGGTGATTTTCGTCTTCCTTGCTGTCGTAATAAGAGATCAACAGCTGAATCTTTTGATTCTTTTGTATTCCTCCAAGATGAGTGCATCATTTAGCTTTGGCTCAAGCATACGTACCTTAAGCTGTACATTCCACTTCTATATTTTCTACCGCTCCCCTTTCCCCATGGCCATTCATCGAAATCTAAACTTTTCTTTATGATTCTGTGTAAAATCAGCAAATGAAATAAGATCTAGGCATTCAAATCAAACCTAACTTCTTGCATCATCGAGGTTTTCAATTGCTCAGAAAGTTCAACATTGGCTGTTTTAGATGGGGTTTCATCATCATACCAAGTTTCTTTACTACCACAGTATAACCTGTATTATAATATATATTGAGATATTCTCGACTGCGATTTGTTGATTGCAGTGCAGTTTATCTGTAATTGCACTGTAGAAAGTATAATTGCACTGTAAATACTGTAACCTGATTGGCTGAAAAGCAGTGACAAACAAACTTCTTTTCAATTTAGAACAAAAACATGGCGGCAGTTGTATGAAAACAAAGATTTCCACAATTGCAATCGCTTGAAATTCAAGATATACAAGAAAATGCAAAGAATAAAACAAAACAGGAAGAAATTTTTTCTGGCAAATGTTTTTAACAGTAAGGCTGCGTAACGAGTGTTTTCTGAAACGATAAAGAGAAACAAAACGAGACAGAGCTAGACGGTACAGTCGAGGAATATCTCAAAATTACGGCCAAACATGCACTCGTGAGTTTTTTAAAGACTGCAAAAGCTGTATTTGATCCATGCTCGCTCTTTGATCGAGCATAATGTACATAAACCGATGATGAAACGGCTTGATATTAATTACTTTAGAATTTTTCTTCTTTTAACTGCACGCACAAAATGACCCTTTCAGCAAAAATTTTTGATTGCGTGAAACTCAGAGTTGCCTGAAGATCGCTCTACGACGTGAAACTCCGAGTAGCGACAGCAAAAACTTGTCGATTTTATTTCCTTTTATATATATATATAAGTTTGAAAATTTGTAATCCAGGCATTTAATACATAAAAGATAAAAGTTTCTCCGGATTTTAAGTGATTTTTATTGAGCTTTCGACTCGTTGCTTCGAGCCTTCATCAGAATGAGGATATTTATTTACACGTGCTTTTTAGCTTGGAGACGTTTAGAGCGTCTAATTGGATTAGTGGGTGGATCAATGTGATTGGATGGGGTGAAATGCGTTGCCATGGGTTTTGGTGTATTGTGAATATGATTGGTGTTAATAATATTAGAGTGTAGTGTTTTAGTTTTGGTGTTGTTTGTAGTTTTTTTGTCCTTTTTCTTTAGTTGTGAGTATATGATGGGTATGTCGATATGTCGTGTAAATAAATATCACGTGTAAATAAATATTCTCATTCTGATGAAGGCTCGAAGCAACGAGTCGAAAGCTCAATAAAAATCACTTAAAATCCGGAGAAACTTTTATCTTTTATGTATATACCAATTTTCAAATATATATATATATATATATATATATATATAAGTGTATATACAATGTGCCCTCCCGTTATCACCATATTAAAATGGCGACTCCTGCACTTGGGACACAGGACGTACGGTTACACATTGTATGGATTGTATTGTAGAGTCACCACAGTGCTCAAACCTATAAAGGTGAGCTTTGCATATCGCGAACACGGTGAACGTCTCCATATGAGACTCTCTACACATATATATATATATATAATGGGATTTTGTGATATATCGCAAACAAAATCGCACGGATAGAGTGCTCAATGCCACGGCAGAGCGGTATAATTTTCGATGAATAAATTACGAATTTCCGGGAATAAATTTCGATGAAGTAATTCGTGGTTTATTTTATTTTCAATTATATATATATATATATATATATATATATATATTGAAAATTGGTAACCCAGGCATATTATGATAATGATAAGGATTCTCCAAACGTTACAAAATCTTTGTAAATAATATATTGTCACATTCTGACGAGCACCGAGTTGAAAGCAATAAAAAATTTAAAACAAATCCAGAGAATCCTTATCATTATCATATATATATATATATATATATATATATTTGAAAATTGGTAACCCAGGCATATTATGATAATGATAAGGATTCTCTGGATTTTATTTTGAAATTTTTATTAAGCTTTCAACTCGGTGCTTCGAGCCTTCGTCAGAATGTGAATATATTATTTACAAAGATTTTGTAGGCGTTTGGAGCGTCTGATTGGTTGGTTAGTAGTTGAGTTGATATTATTGGATGGTATAAGATGCGTTGTCATGGTTTCGGGTGTATGGATTGCGTTAATGAAATTTGAGTGTTTTATTTTAGTCGTTGTGTTATCAGTTTGTTGTCTTGGTTTTGTCTTTAGTTGTGAATAGATGATGGGGATGTCAATATGTCTGTTTATTGTGTTGTTGTCTTTGCTGTACCATGCCTCTTTGAATTCTCGTGCGTGTTTTGTCTGTGCGCGTCCAAGAAGTTGTGTTTTGTCCAGTCAAATGTGTGGTTGGTATCGTAGGTATGTTCTGCTGGTAGTGATTTTGGGTCGCGTCGTTTGATGGCATTCTTGTGTTCAGTGAGTCTTGTTTCAATTTTTGGATGTTTGTCCTATGTACTGTTTGGGGCAATCTTTACATGGTATCATGTAGACCGCGTTGGTTGTGTCAAATGTCGTTGTTCGGTCTTTATGTTTAGTGAAGTATGATTTGAGTTTGTGTGTTGGTTTTGTGCGATGTTTATTTTGAATGGTCGGAGTAGTCTTGATGTCATTTCTGATGTTCCGTTTATATATGGTAATGTCACTATTTTACTGGTTCGTCTGTATCTTCGTTAGGTTTTTCAGTTTGTGGTTTGTTGTGTATTTTGTTTAGTACTTTGTTGATAAAGTTTCGAGGGTAATTGTTGTTTTTGAATGTAGAGTATAAGTAGTTGCGTTCATTCTTCTTGGCTTCTTCTGTATTGCAGAGTGTTTTAATCCTGTTAAAGAGAGTTCGTATGCAACTAATTTTGTGTTGTGTTGGGTGATTGCTATTAAAGTTGAGTATTTGGTCTGTGTGTGTATTTTTGCGGAATACTTGTGTGTTTAATGTGCCGTCATGTGATCTGGTAAGTAAAATATCTAGGAAGGTAAGTTGTTTGTTCTGTTCTTTGTCCATGGTGAAGGTTATGTTCTGTGTGGTGTTGTTTATTGTGTGTAGAATGTGTTCTGTTTTGTCTTTTTCGACGATAGCAAAGATGTCGTCAACAAATCTTCTCCATAGTCTGATGTGTGTGTTGTTGGTGACTGACTGCTTTTCAAGGTGTTGCATAACAGCTTCTGCAAGGGAGGTGGATAAAGGAGAACCCATTGGTGTTCCTGAGATTTGTCGGTACTATGAATTTTGGAAGGTGAATTCAGTGGAGAGGCAGAGCTCGAGCAGGTCGA